GTAGATTTACATTTCCTTTGAAATAGATCCGTGCTGATAGGGTTACAGCAGCATGCAAGAGTACTATAACTAACACTGATGTTGCTGAGGTGCAAAGACACTTTTGGCTGAATGAAGACAGACAGGATGTTGGGATCTTGTGACTTGTCTACATAGATATTTGTGTCATTTCAGGCCATAGAATCAGAAGCATCCAGTTCTTTGAAATAGGATTAGCAAATGAATGGTAAAAAAAAAAAAAAGTACTTCGGATAATGATAAAAGAGGTGTGAATATCCAGCTTTGGGAAATCAGCAACACACACACACACACACCCATCTGCTCTGTTAAGTAGTGTAGGAGAAGGAGAAGTGATTTTTTTTGGGTGGATCCATGGGTCTGTGAGGAAACCGAGTTGCAAAAGCAGGGATAGAGTCCGTTTTGATGACAGCTGACTGGCAGTTCAGCTAACATCGGGTTCATTGGGTTATAGGATGACATTTTTGTCAAAAAATCTCTAAAAGCTCTAAATCTGCAAAAGATTGGCATAGATTTATTTGTGGTAACTTCATGCTACATGCATGTGCAAATGCTTGTAGAGCTTTTTCGAAAACATTTTGTTGTTCTGGTTTGGTGGACTTGCTGTGTTAGTGTTTGTTGTCACTGAAAAAGGTTCGCTATACATATTGCCTGGGTCTAGGAGAAACCGTCTAAAATGGGTCCCCAAGGATACCTGCGTACACAATCAGTGATATGTAAATGGCTGTAACGCATAATGAAACTATAACATATTTTAATGTGACAATCAGTGTTACTGTAAGAATTTTGCCGTGCACTCTCTTGAGTTTACCAGTCCAGTCCTTCTTCCCTTTTTCTTTTTTGTGCATCTGACTTACGCAACATCTTAGCAAACTTGAACGAAAGAAAGTAACTAATAGCTACACACTGTAATTAGTCATTAAATTTTCAGCGGACTGTGAAATGCCCCAGACTAAATCATTTCACAAAACAGGAGAAATATTAACATATCTAATGACTTGCAAACAATGCACAGGCATATTTCAGATGGGTTTATTCTGCATGTCAATGCATAGGATTACTAAAGTCTCCTGGGCCCCTCACCCATGCACATACACATACATATATATGTACACATACATAGACATGTACATATACATATAGGGTATACCTATAGTACATATGACCAGTACATATGACCATACAGGAAGGAATAAGAGTTAAATATAAATATTGACTTAATTACTTGAATGTATAATTAAAGAAAATCACCTTGTCACTATTTCATATTAAATCTGGATTTTAGGGAAAGGAAGGTATGAAGTACCCCTGTTGCCCTTAGATCCAATGGCCAGATCACAGTCTTAGAGTCATGAGGTTGAAAGAGACATTACCTCTGGTTTGACCTCTTATACTATATCTTCAGGGCTTGAAGGCACCAGATGGCATTCAGTGCACTTTGTCAATGTGTCCTTTTGAGCCTCGAGCTAAAGGCAGTGAGTGATCCTTGAATATACACACCACAGTGAAGATAGAATAACAGATTCATCACAACCAGAGTCAAAATACTTTATTTATTGTATGCCAATTTAAAAAAAAAAAAAACTACACACACGCACACATTTTGCCATTCTGCCCTTGCACTTTATAACTAGACTACATTAATTAATTACGCTTACAGTTACAATTAAAACTAAGTTTCAGAGTAAGGATTAGAAATGATTAGCTAGCATTTATATTGGTATTGTTCTTTAAAAATAGTAATACAACTGACTCATTTGTACATTCGGTTTTTAAATAACATATGGCTATAAATGAAACACACTTTCAAAGGTTCGAAAAAACAGACAGTGTTTCAGTGCATTGGCCAGACGAGACAGCATAAAGGAAGCAATCAGTTATAGCATTCGTTTGAAAACAATAAAAATATATACATATTTTAATGACTGCTTCTGTTTACATCAATGCTTTAAACATCTTCAAGATACCAGATCCTGTCTGAGGCTGGAGACTTTTTTGTGTCTCTTCCTCACTCAAGGTGTCCATTCAAGTTTTCCTTTTTCCATTACTGGTGCACAGCTTTGTGGACAGACTTCTTAATTAACACCTCGAGTATCATAACTGTGATAATGTGAAAGAATTTCACACGCACACACACACACACACACATGCACACACACATGCACACACACACACACACACACACACACACATGCCTATTGTCATACAGACAACTAGCACCATCTCCTAGTTCCTCATTTTCCAAATACAAAGGGGGATTATAGTCAAAATTGGAAGTTCGTCTTAGCAGGATGTAATGTGGCTCTGCTTGATTAAAAATCAATTGAAATACAAGTTGCATGAAACACCTATGCTTAACCAGGAGCTTAGTTTTTAATTCTGGGTTTTGCATGGCTTAAAAACAAACATTTTTTCATCCCCAGTAGCTGCTCTATCCTGATCAGCGGGAAAACTGACAGTAACAGTTTGGAATTTGCATAAGTAATTATCAAATTAGTCAGGGAGAAAGAAATGACAAGTATTCAATAAGTGATCACAATATGACAAGGAGATGACAAAGGTTGACTCACTCCAAACACCCTCCAAACACACCAAACACAGCTGTGTTGGGAATATTTCAAACTCTGCAGGCCAGCATGTATTGGAGAGGAGTGGTGTTGAAAAATACCTGACGCTGGACAGATGAATAACTGAAGAAATGAAGAATTTCGCTGTGATACAACAAACAACAGACTGCATATCAGTCTCAGGGTGTTTTCACACTTGGTCCACTTCAAGGGGTCTGAGTTTGGTTCTTTTAAAGAGGACTCAAGTGTGAAAACAGCCTCAATCACTTAAGCATACAGATCTGATACCACAGGTGTCATCAACCGCCAGACCTAGCAAAGTATCAGTATCAGCGGACCAAACCGAGTACCCGAAAAAATACTGTAGCAGATTTTAAATATATTTTAAAAAACTGGCTGTAGTTCTGCGACTCCAGTTTTCTAAACAAACCAGCATGGCTTCTGTAGCTCTGTTGCGGCTTATCCAGTCACATGAATGTATGTAAATCATTTAGCTGAAGGCAGCTCATCCGACCAGAGACTAGCGACTGGGGTGAAACATTAGGTCGAAAATGGAAGAGTTTTCACAGTTATTATAAGTTTATTTTTTTTTAAAAATTGACAGTGAAAACTGAATGTTTATATTCTGTTTGATTGGACAGAAATGAATGCATTTATTCTTCCTGCATCAAATTCAAACCTCATATCATCTTAAAAATGTGTTTACACTATGAAACAAAATATAACTGTCTTATTTATAGCCATAAACTATTCATTAATGGTTAAGCATTAGAAGGTAATTGGTGTTGGTTGCTTATCCACACATTTGTAAGCAAGGAATTTTATGTAATGGACCTTTACCAGTTTTAACTGGGTACCCCTGATAGAGTAGTTAGGTACGGAGCCCCTAAGGGGACATGGTGATGGAAAAAAATATGAGGTGGGAGGAAAATTTGTTTTTCAGTGCTTTTGCATTTTCTCACAAAACTTTTGCGTTCCCTGAGAAACTTTCAGGGCTCTCTCAGAAAGATATTTGCGTTGTCTCACAAAAAAATTGCAAGTGAACACAAAGTTTCTTGGGAGAACACAAAAGTTTTGTGAGAGAACACAAAGTTTCTCTGGGAAATGCAAAGGTTTTGTGAGAGAACGCAAAGTTTCTTGGGAGAACGCAAAGTTTCTCGGGGAAATGCAAAGGTTTTGTGAGAGAACGCAAAGTTTCCTGAGAGAACGCAAAGTTTCCTGGGAGAACGCAAAGGTTTTGTGAGAGAACGCAAGGTTTCCTGGGAGAACACAAAAGTTTTGTGAGAGAACACAAAGTTTCTCTGGGGAACACAAAGGTTTTGTGAGAGAACACAAAGTTTCTCTGGGAAACACAAAGGTTTTGTGAGAGAACGCAAAGTTTCCTGGGAGAACACAAAGGATTTGTGAGAGAACACAAAGTTTCTCTGGGGAACACAAAGGTTTTGTGAGAGAACGCAAAGTTTCTTGGGAGAACACAAAAGTTTTGTGAGAGAACACAAAGTTTCTCTGGGGAACACAAAGGTTTTGTGAGAGAGCGCACAGTTTCTTGGGGAACGCAACAGTTTCTTGGGAGAACGCAAAGTTTCTCGGGGGAACGCAGAAGTTTTGCGAGCGAACGCAAAAGCATTGAACTATACATTTTCCTCCCATCTCTTATTTTTTTCCATCACCATGTCCCTTTAGGGGCTCCGTAGGGTAGGTGAACCTTTTATACCCGCTCATATGAGTGAATGATTTATACCCGTCAATATCCTTCATTCCGAGCCTGTCACTTTAAATAGGCGTGGTTACGCGAATACTACCAGCCCTTTATGTAAATGAGCGCGCCTGCTCGCCCGGATAATACAGAGCTGTAGTTGTTTCACGGATCCATAGAGTTGAAGCGGCAGCGCCGGTTACATCCAGCTTTAATACTCTGCATCAGCTTGAACGAAAGAGAACTGAAAACACGGATCAACTGCAACAAGAAACCTGCACGCAAGAAAGATATTTTTCTTCAGGACGCTGTAAAGCTTATTTCTTGGGAAGCTTCTGTTTGTGAATTGAGTTTATGACACTGAAAGCTTGGTGAAGAAACTGGGCTACAGAAGGAGTGCTATTTTTCGGCGCAGTCACTCGGGAATTTCGCAACTCAAATCAATGTCTTACGGGATACAGACTCTGGAGAATATCTTACGGTAAGCTTGTGAAAGGCGAGAAATCATTAGCTATGTGTGCTGCTTGGTTGAATCATTTTGTGGTTAGTAAAGTAAATGGTTCTGCGGAGGGAAGAACGGTGTTTTCCTGCATCAGCTCTGAGCCCCGTTTACTGTATAAAGCCTGAGCCCACTTCCCGGTGTAGCCTGCGTTGTGTAATCTAAAATGTGTTGCGAAACTTTTCATTTAACATTTCTCAGAGCCGCGCTTAAGGGAGGGGGCACGGTGGTGTAGTGGTTAGCGCGCTTGCCTCTCACCCCTGGAGTTCCAGGTTCGAATCACGCCTCCTCCCTGTGTGTGTGTTCTCCCCACCTCGGGGGTTTGCTCCAGGTACTCCATCCATCTCCCGATATCACTCCTGCTGTAGCCAAAGACGTGTTGTAGGCTGATTGGTATCTCTGATTTGTCCGTAGTGTGTGCAACTGTGCCCTGTGATGGGTTGTCTAGGGTGCTCCAGGTGACCCTGTGGTGTAGTAGGATAAACAGTGCAGAGGATGAATGGATGCTTAAGGGAGCAGTTTGATTGCACCAAGCTCATCTGAATAACAGATTTGATGCTTGTTTAGCTGCTGCATTATTTTAATAAACAAATATCCTCCAGGCAGTGAGCCTGTTACGAACCTGCAATGGAAAATTGTTCTCTTGGCAGACAGGCTGCTTTAGGACACACTGATGACTTATTTAAGCGATCATCAAGCGCAAGACAGTTATTAACGAATTGCATGTCTTTCCTCTTTCAGATCTGGTTTGTTCTGACTTTTGGCTGGTGCTCACTTCTGAAAGACTCTAAATGCCAGGAATCAGCGCGAGCCCTTTACCCTATGCATGCTGGGACATGGAGGAGCCGGATCAGTACCAACACTACTTCTACGATGACCATGATGCAGATGAAGACTTCTTTAAGTCCACTGCACCCAGTGAGGGCATCTGGAAGAAGTTCGAGCTCGCACCCAGTGAGGACATCTGGAAGAAGTTCGAGCTCGTGCCCACACCGCCCATGTCTCCCGTAAGGAGGCTGGATGAAACATCTGTGTGTCCATCACTGGGGGACAAACTCGAGTGGGTGTCCCACTTCCTTGGCCAGGACGATGAGCATGAGGCACAGTGCAACTTGAGCTCCATAATCATACAGGACTGCATGTGGAGTGGCTTTTCAGCCTCTCAGAGGCTCGAGAAGGCTGTCAGTGAGCACATGTTGTGCCAGGGTGGGGCCAAGGTGCCTCTCGTCCCCCAGATTCCCTCTTCGAGGTCACAGAGTGGTCATGTGGAGTCGCTATCTCTCAGCAGTCCGATGGCGGACTGTGTGGATCCGGCGGCTGTGTTGACCTTCCCACTGAGCGGCTGCAAGAAGCAGGTGTCCTCTGGCTCTGAGTCACACACCGATTCATCTGGTAGGTGCAGAGTCCTTGACCTTGATTTAGATCCGTGATGGGCCAGTACTTTTCACAGACTCACTCAGTGAGAGTGAAATGTGTTATTCTCAAGTGATCACTTGCTTAAAGAGTCATTAAGCTTTGACGCTGTGCTGAATTTTAAGGAGCCTCGTTGTTCAGGTCTTGAAGACCTGTTAATTCGAATTAAACCTCTCAAAAGAGTGGTGACATGTCTTTTAAGATTAAAGCACAAGCGAGTCAATAATCTGGTCAGCATTGTCCTTTTCAATGTAACATGCTGTTTCTGTAAACAGTTAAGCTAATGTGTGAGAAGCTTGCAGAGGTGTTACTCCATTTATGCACCGATGCCCTGCTTTTGAGGTTGACATCATTCCGGGCTCCTTGTGGAATGTCTCTGTGGACTTGTGCCATGGTCCTACATTCCTGAGCTTGAACAACAGGATGGGTTGTTTTACTGGTGGGCGGGGCACAGAGAGTGAATGGCTGTAAGACGAGCCAATGGGAAGTGACTGAACTGAATGAGTTGTGGAAGACCAGATCCAGAAAGGTCCGGGGTAGGTTTAGTGGAGGATTAAAGTATGTTTGTGAGACAGATTAAAAAGGCTTTTTCTTAGCCTTTTAAAGCCTTAATCACAGAAAATGCCTGCCTTAAAGAAGAGTTTTGAAACTAGGCGGTCGTTTTAGAGGTCAGCAGAAGTGAAATGTCCCAATGAATATTTCATCAAGTTACTAATGTTCTTTTGTAACTTCTGCATGATTTTCATGTGATTCAGTTAAGCTGCCTTTTGTCACTGAATAAATCCTTTTATCAAATAGTGTCATAATTTTGGAAACTTCAAATGTTGTCCTTGAATGCAGTTGGATTCATACCAGAAGCCTGCTGTAGGAAAGAGAACTTTTCGGCCATTGTTTATTATTTTGGTATTCTATAGTAACCACGACCAAGGCAGTGCCACATCCCACAGAATAGCTATGTTGCTGTATGATTGATCAGGAGTTACATGGTCAATGGATGCAATAAGACCATAAGGCCAGGATTAAATAACCTATTTTAGCAGTCAGTACATCTTAAATGAATGTTGTATCATTTATTGTAAGTGGCTGAGGGTTAAATGGTTTGTAATGTCTGTTGTTTTAGATGAGGAGGAGATTGACGTAGTGACGGTGGAACACAAGCATGGCAAGTCCCGGCCAGTGAACTCACGCAAGCCGGTCACCATCACGGTGCGCGCCGACCCACACGACCCAGGCACAAAGCGCTTCCACATCTCCATCCACCAACAGCAGCACAACTACGCCGCCCCGTCCCCCGATTCAGAACCCCCTCGCAAGAGGATCCGCCAGGAGACCTCCCAGACCCGGCCAGGCTCCACAGTCCACACACTCGAGAGCAAACCACACTCACCTGTTGCATCCGTTTCCATTCCAGCACACTCCACGACAACTTCACCGCCTCTTGCCTCATCCCATCATGGCCCCAAATCGCAGCCGGCCAGCCCTCAAAGCTCAGACAGCGAGGACATGGACAGACGCAAGAACCACAACTTCCTGGAGAGGAAGAGACGCAACGACCTGCGTTCACGCTTCCTGGCCCTGAGAGATGAGATTCCTGGCCTCGTAGACTGTCCAAAGACGCCGAAGGTGGTGATCCTGACCAAGGCGACTGAGTACCTGCGTCTGCTACATGTCACCGATAAGCAAAAAGCCCAGGAGAAGAAGCAGCTCAAAAACAAGCATCAACAGCTCCTTCGGAGGATAGCAGAACTAAAACGCTCTTAAAGTTGTTCACAGATCCAGGCCAGTCGCAAGGACTTTGTGAGAGTGCTTGGTTAAAAGTGGGGATTATTTAAGATTTAAGACATCTGTACATTTTGTTTTATTCTCCAACAATCTTTGCACATTTGATTCTGTAGTTAGGGGGACGGATACTCCTGGTGTGTTGTGGATTACATAAACTTCACTGAGTTTCCCAAAGAATGCCCTGCTGATAAAATGAAAAGGGTCTACCCCCAAATCTCTTTAATATTAAAACCCTCCTAATCGGGGATAGTCTATAAATCTTTGAATTGTCATGCCATTTGGGTGTTGCTTGAAATGTAGCATTTAGCTTGTATGCACGTTTGACCACCTAATAAAGGTGGATTTGTGTGAAGAAATCTTTTATTATCTGATTTAATAAGTCTTTGCCCTGCTGTGCTATTACTTATGTTCAAAATGATTTGAACAGTTTGAAAGTGAAGTTTGTGTGGCCCTTGCAATACTCTTATCAGGATTGGAGTTCAACGACAGGAAGTTGTTACTGGTTGCCGTTTGTCTACAAAAATCACATATATGGTTTATCAGTTTTCTAAATGTTCTTGTACTGGTGCACATCTGAGTCCATGCCTTACCGACATGTTGTGTATATAAACTGTGAGATCTGTAACCATTTGTACATAATAGCTCAGCTGTATAGGTGTGTAAAGTATATTATATATGCTTTCCATTTTAATACCAAAATCGAGGTTGTTGATTTTAACTCTTTTGTTTTTATATATTTTTCCTTCATGTGTTCTGAAACTTGGTTGGCCCCCTTGGCTTAATCTTATCTCAGAGTATCTCAAAGCTTCTATTTTTGTTAACAAAAGTAAAAACAAAAAAAGTTAAAACATGAAAATGACACTATAGAACCTTACTTTGCATTGCTAGTCACCTTGATGTTTCCACTGCCTAATCATCTTCTGTTTTTTAAGGGGTATATATAATATTTGGTTAGTAATTCAAAAATGCTGAGAAGAGACTTTTATAATCTATTTTCTTACAAAGTTCTGTGTTTCTTTGTAATGTTAATGTCTTTTTCTGTGTTTTCTCCCTCTTTTTTACAAAAGCTCTACTGATGGTATATGCCTCTTGATTCATTTACTAAAGTCCCATTTTTTTTATTACAGTACATTTATTCTTCCTAGTGCAATATCCTTCGAATCACGCAACTTTACAGCTCTTCTGGAATAATGTCATCATGCTGCATGGCGCACTGCTTTCTCACACCTAAACTTTCCCCCACTCAACTGAAGAAGCCTTTTAGAGTACTGCTGTTATTTCAGAGGCTGATTTGCACATCATCTTCTGCCTTAATCCTTTTCAGATTCAACCTAGTCTTGAATTTAAGTCACTATAAATGGCAATTCTCCATTGAAAATCTCTTTCAGTGTTGGACTAGGCCTAATCGGTCTGAAAAATAATCCAAAGAAAAACTGTGGTAGCTCATTGCCGTATTTCATCACTGATCACTTTCTCCATTCCTGAGACTTTCAGGCCTCTTTATCTCTAAAATGCATATACCATCAGCAAGCTTGACACTCTGTCTTATTTATGTTTATTTTCCGGTGGAATAGCCAAGCTTTAAGAATGCATTTGTTACTGTTAAGATTTGTCACATAACTTAACTTCTTTTTGCTGATTTTTTTTATTTTATTTTATTTTATTTTTTACATTTTATTCATTGCTTCTTTTTCACTTTGTCTCTCCCAGTGGCTAATTGTTACACTTGGAGCATAACAGCAGCATTAAGCACTTTGTGTTTTCAGTACCTCATGAGCCCGTAGAAGTCAGACAATTAATAAATTCAAAATCAAAACAATCATGTCTCAGTGCTTTCTTTCGCTAAAACATCCCATCCATTATTCCTCTTATACCACAACTTTTTATCTTTTTATTAATTGAAGAAATACGTACTTTTTATTTGTTTATAGTTACAGTGGTTTGGAAAAGTATTCAACCCCCCTGGAATTACATATTCTTCCTGTTAGTATTTTTAATGCAAACTCGTGTCTCAAGACGGTACAAAATTGAAAAGTCAAAATTAATTGTTGGTCAGCAAGTACAAAGCAAATCAAAAACTGAAAACCGGTGCTTGCATAAGTATT